AAACGTAGTCGACTTTCCAGTAGAGCTGGTCTGGCCAGAAAATGCCCACCTGCACCATGAACATGTATGGTTCGCCCGGAATCAGCCAGTGTCGCTCTAAGTAGGTGGCCATACCAGATCTCATATTTCAATCTTTTAAATAAAACCAATAACGGGTATAAATTGAAATCAAACATAGCTTATCAAAATGATTGAAAGATGTAGGGAGTTGCAAACACCTACCTGTTGAGCTGTTGTACGGGACTTTAGTGTCGCAGTAATAAATTTTTTAGTGTACGGGAGTTGGTGAACTGGTGCACCAACAGATACGTGCGTAGATGCTGTGCCGCCATCAAGTGTAGATGAATGGGAGTACTTTCTATGCAAATTAACACTGGTATTTTTTCTTCTTTTTCACGGCAGGAATCTTCTCCAGTTTTCTCTAGTCACATTTTGATGCTTTATTAAAACTTTGAAAAAGATTGATCACCATCTCTCTATACATCATCAGTTTCCTCATCATCATCTTGCGCTCTCCTCTCACAAACGCACATTCCACTTCTGTCATTCTCCTTGTTTAGTGAACTTCTTTTTTATTTTTTGTTTTTGTTTTTTAAATTTCTTTATTTTTCAATAAAAACTGTTTTATTTATTGCATTGTATTTTTTTGGGTGGCAATAACTGTCAAATTGCGTTTAGTTAACTGTTGCTTAAAACTCGTAAAAGATTACATCAAGGAAAAGGCTCAGATTACCTTGATTACTTTTGTATTAAACAAAACAAAACATTCAGGACATCTTCATTGTCAAGCACTTTTAGTAGCACTTTCTTCCTGATGGCAATCTATAAATTGTGCAGAGGTTTAGTGCTCTACCACTGTGAGATCATCCAGTCATTTGTTTTGTCTGCACTAAAGCACTACTTTCAGGTATTTCAGCACTTTCCATTGTCCCCTTCCTAATCTGCCATCGATTTCACCAGTTTCTGTTGGTATTGCCACTGCAGCACTGCAACAACTACTGTTCAAGTTCAAGTTCTCCGATGTAGGTCAGACTTACCTTTCTCAAATAGCCCTCTCTGAACAAACAAACNGCACTACTTTCAGGTATTTCAGCACTTTCCATTGTCCCCTTCCTAATCTGCCATCGATTTCACCAGTTTCTGTTGGTATTGCCACTGCAGCACTGCAACAACTACTGTTCAAGTTCAAGTTCTCCGATGTAGGTCAGACTTACCTTTCTCAAATAGCCCTCTCTGAACAAACAAACAACTCTGGTGAACAAAGTCTTAGCAGTAGGTCATCAGATCAAGTAAAGAAGAGACAAAGAAGAAGAAGAGGACTGAAGGGAAAGAAAGGGATTGCTTTGTCTGTCACTTTCTCGTTTTTTTGCTGCCTTTTTACGCACATACTGTTTTCCAAAAGTGCAATCATTTGGTGAACTAACCGCCGAAAGTGATGAACAGCATTTGGTGTTTTTGCACCTCTTTTAGTTTGCGTTACTTCAGATTTTGTATTCCAGTGATTTAATCAGCACTTTCAGCACAACAACAACAACAAATAAAAGATGATCTCACTCTTCCTACTCATCCTTTTCCTTCTTCTTCTCACCGTTTATGGCCTCCACCGGTACACCGTTTACCGCCGCCAGGTGGACACGATTGCCGGTCCACCGGTGGGCTCACTTCTTCTGGGCAACCTGGGCCTCTTTATCAAGCCACCTCGAATGCACATTCGCCAGTTTCTCGTCAGTGAGTTTTCTTCCTTTGCTGCCAGCAACGAAAAAGGTCCATTGATAAATCACCGTTGATGACATTTGTTGAATAGAGATGTACAGCCTGCTTCTCAGCCTGTGCGAGCAGTACCGCAAGGAGGGCGCCTTCCGCCTCTGGGTCGGCCCACTTCACTCGATCTTCATTCTGACCAATGCAGAGAGCGTCGAGCGGCTGCTCAGCTCGCCGGTCAACCTTGATAAGGGTCACGAGTACCGCTTTCTCGCTCCCTGGCTCGGTGATGGTCTCCTCCTAGCGTGAGTTAAAGTTTTTTTAACCTTTTTTCCTTTTCTAAAATACATTTTGCTTTTCCTCAGAGACGCCAAAGTCTGGCGCACCCGTCGCAAGCTGCTGACGCCGGCGTTTCACTTTAAAATACTGGAGAACTTTATTCCCATCTTCTCACGGCACACCGATCTGCTGCTGAGCAAAATTGCCGCCGCCGTGTCGCCGGAAACGGGCACTGCCGCCATTGAGGACATTCGCCCGCTAATGGAGGACCTGACGCTGGACATCGTCAATGGTCAGTTATCTTTGGAACACCACTGATTTTGCAGCAATTAATTTCATATTTTTATCAATTTAGAAACCTCCATGGGCGTGGACCACGAGAAGGTTGGCAGCAACAGTCAGAGCAATGAGTCGTACCGTGTGTCAATGAAACGGGCCTTCCGCCGTGCCGTGCATCGAGTGAGCAATCCACTTTACTGGCTGGACTTTATTTACAAACGCACCGAGCAGGGGAAGAAGTTCTACTACAATGTCAAGGGAATGATGAGCTACGTTGATAGGGTCAGGAAAAGAACATTTCTATTATCAGATGCTAACGCTCCTCTCTTTCTAATCAGATCATCGACAAGAAAATGAACGAGTTCAGGGAGAAGCAACAGCAGCAGCAAACAACAGAGTCTGATAACAACAACAACAATAGCAATAATAGCAAAAAACGAGAAACTATCTTTCTGGACATTCTTATGGAGAAGTACTTCACCGAACCGGGCTCTATCAGCCCAGAAAATATGCGTTCTGAGGTGAACACCTTCATCCTTGGCGGACACGACACGACGGCCAATGCCACCATTTTCTCGCTGCTGCTCATTGGCCAACATCCTGAAGTTGGGCGGAAAATCCTCGAAGAACTGGAAGAGGCCGGTCTTCTCCTTCAGAACAGTCAAAGTTTACCCATTGAAATTGAGGCTTTGAAGCGGCTCCGCTACCTCGAGGCGACCATCAAAGAGACACTTCGACTTTACCCGAGCGTTCAAGTGATCGCCCGACGGCTGGTGGAGGAGCTGACGTTGCCTGACGGAAAACAGATTCCGGCAGGTAGTACCGTTTACGTGCCCATCCTCTCACTTCATCTCGATGCCAGCGTCTTCCCCGATCCAAACTCCTTCATCCCGGAACGATTTCTTTCCTCTTCTTCTCACTCAGAAGGAACCTCTACCGCCGCCAAAAACCCCTACGCCTTTATACCCTTCTCTGCGGGGGCCCGCTCGTGCATTGGTTAGTAGCATTGCTTCTATTTGTTTCTTTAAAAAACTTCTTCTTTTCCCAGGCCAAAAGTACGCCATGCTGGAGCTCAAGTTTGTCTTGGCGTCCATCTTTTGCCGGTATCGCGTCACCAGCCACACTCGCCCGACGGAGGTCATCAAGGAGCTGATGCCGGTCATCAAGCCGCTCAACAGCATCNATACCCTTCTCTGCGGGGGCCCGCTCGTGCATTGGTTAGTAGCATTGCTTTTTTTTGTTTGAAAAGTACCTAAAACTTTAGTTTCTTTTCCCAGGCCAAAAGTACGCCATGCTGGAGCTCAAGTTTGTCCTGGCGTCCATCTTTCGCCGGTATCGCGTCACCAGCCACACTCGCCCGACAGAGGTCATCAAAGAGCTGATGCCGGTCATCAAGCCGCTCAACAGCATTAGGGTGGACTTTCAGTTGCTGCATCATCCTCAGTCGACCTCTTCATCCTCACCACCATCATCAGAGTAGAAGTGTTTAATCATTTTGTTCTTCATTTATTTTGCCAAAACTGTTTTACCGGGTTAATCAATAAAAACCAGTGCCTCTTGAAGTGGCATCGACACACTACTGAACAGATTACGCTTTATTGCGTCAACACATGAGCAACACTTGAAACAAGAAGTAAGCCTGGTAAAATTAATGTTTGAGTACATTGGTGATAGTGATGCTAAATGCTAAACGCTGTGACATTTGGCCACTGGTGATCGCTTGCTAGTGGATGACAATAGCTGCTCAGGAGAAGAGTGCGTTTGAATTGGCCTAAATCAAAACGAAACCTAAATCCCTCGTTGTGATCAGACTGGCAACTGCTCAACACATCATGTTAGCTCATCAACTGCTTGTTCGAATGTTCGAACTTCGTGCCGTGTCAATGAGTGGGCTTATGGGTAAAAAGCCAAAGCGATGACGATGACTTTTACTTTCTTTCTTGATTGACCAATTGTTTTGTCCAAACCAATCTTCAAGTTTATCAACTTCTTTTGCCTGGCAAACATGGCCATCATCGATCTGAGCGCGTACTTTTACTCGATGCTGGACACCCTGAAGAGCTTCTTCTTTTACCACCATGCTCAGTGTCCTCATAACATTGCAAAGCGTAAGCAATAGATAAAACCAATCAACTCTAATCTTCTTTTTTTGCTAGCAGCTGTTGTGGACATTGAATCGGCCCAGATGAAGTCAGTGGACATCTTTGCCGTACCTTCCAAGCGTCTTTTGGAACAGGAAAAAGAAGAGGAGGAGCAAACGTCAAGTTTTGACGACCAGGAAAAGCACATTTATGTGGAGGAAAAAGAAGAAGGCGAGGAGGAGGAAGGCGATGGTGATGATGAGGAGGAGTTCGAAGATGATGAAGAAGAAGTGGAGAGTAAGGAGGCAGAGGGGGAGATCATCAACTTTGCTGACGTGAACATGGACAGCATCGCTGATCATGGTGAAGGGGAGAAGTACCGCGATGAGGTGATCATCATGTCTTTCTCCACCAACAGCAACAACTCTGAAGGTTCGGCCAGCAGCGAGTCATCAGAGGAGGAGGATGAGGAGGAGTACAGTGACAGCGAAGAGGAGGACAGCACCTCCGTCTCCTCACTTCAGCTCAGCCACTCGCCGTTGCCGCCTTCATCTGCTGTTGGCGGCCTTTTCGGACGTGTCCTGTCGTTGCTCGGCGGCACCGCCCCAAAGTACCACGACATTGACCACGTGGCACTGGTCAAGTACAACAAGAATGGAAAGCTGAATCTCGTCTAATCTGGGAGCGCCCAGCTAGGGCCAACACACAATGTGCATTTTCTTCTTTCTGCCTTTTCACTGCCTTTTTTTGCACTGCACTTTTCCTCTCAAAGTTGCCGCACTACTGTTTAATACTTTTGTGGCTTTTATTAAATCATTTGTTTTACTAATAGTTTTGATCATCGGCAGACAAAAACTCTTCTAAATGCCTTCTTCTACTGCTGCCGTTTCCGTTGCGAGCCAGTAGACCACCACCTCCCTCTTTACCACTTTACTCCTTTCCCTTCTCAGTCATCTTGGTCGTCTTCGGCTGATCAGCAGCACTCTTCTCCACCTTGGAGGCCACACTGAGCACGCTGCCTCCGCTCTTCTCCGTCTTCTCGATGCTGGCCATTTTGCTAGAGCCAGCACTGTCCAGAGTTGATGACTTTGAAGTAGAGTTCTCCTGATGCGTACTTCTGCCACCCTCATCAATGGCGACCACCTTGATGCCGGCTGGAAGCTTTGCCTTCACCTTCACCCGAACCGACCGCCGCACCGTCGGAGCATTGTCCGACATGGCGGGCAATACCGTTGAGGGCAGCTTATCAGACCGCTTTTCCACAGCTGCTGGCAGAATTGGTCCTTTGAAAGGCTCTACTTGGGAACTTGGTTTACTGGCTGTAGCAACAGCTGCCGTCGACTTCATTTCCGGTAGCTGAAGCTTTGGCTTCTCTTTTGTCGACTTGGCTGAAGCAGCTGAAGAAGCTGGAGAGGGCAACGTGGCCGCCACCTTGACGCCCACCGCCAGTCTCGTCGACTCGGGCAGTTGTGGAAGTTTGGCGCTGTCCGTGCTTTGTCTTGAGGAGTTGCTGGTGTTCTCCGAGAAAAAGCTGCGCGAAGAGTCGGAGCTGCTCATTGACCCATCTGACTTCAGACTCTTCTCGCCTGGTCGTCCACCTGATGAGCCAAAAATGGAGGGTAATTGGGATGAGGGAGATGCTTCGGTTGTTGTCTTTGATTTTGGTGGTGGTGGGCGAAGAGAGATCGGTCTTGATGCTTTCGGCTGTTCAGCCAGAGATGAAGGTGGTGGTGGAGGTGGCAACAGACCACCATTACCACCAGTTTTCTTTTTTCTAGAGCTTTTTTTGGGCGTTTTTGACAGCAGTGGACTGGCGGACTGCGAGGACAAAGGCTGGGACAGCTGTTGGGTAATCAAAAATGGCGCTGGACTTTTGGAAAAAGTAGCCGGAGTGGCTGGAACCGGAGTTTTGCTAACGGTGGTGGTGGCAGTCACCGCAATCATTTTAGGCGGTTTGGATTGAGGAGTTCGAGGCTTTTTAGCTTTGCCTGGTGAAACTTTCTTTGGCAGTGCACTGGCAGGACCACTTTCAATTGGTGGTGGTGAAGGTGGCAAAGTTGTCACCAGAACAAGTGCTGGTTGCTGGGTTGATGGTGCTGGCGATGGTGGCGGTGGTGGATTAAGTGGTGCTGGAGGTGGTGGAGGAGGTGGCTGCGTTGATGAGATGGCCAACAGTTGAGACGGCGCCATTACCGTTTTAGGGTTCGCAATTTTAGGCTTGCTGGCACTACTGCCACTCGAAGTGGAGTCCACATCATCAGCTGTTTCACTGGAACCCGATGATTCCTCTGTTTTGAGATGCATTTTCTTCTTCTTCCTTATGCCACTGCTCTTCTTCTTCTCCTTCAGTGACCACTTTTTGCCACTTTTTGCCTTGATGCCTCCATCACCACTGCTGTTGCCGCTGTCACTCAGCTGTCCTGATGGCTTCTTCAGTTCAGCCCAGGTAAAAGTGTGCATTGATTGACTATTAAACTCTACTGCCTTCTGTTTCTTCATATTTGAGCACAAACATCCGCACATTGTGTGTTGAGTTGCTGAGATTTGGAAGTGCTGTGAGTCTGCATTGCTGCGATAAAGAGTTTTAAGTGGTGAAACGTTAAAGTAGACAACAATAAGTTTGAAAAGTCGAACATTTGGTTGAAAAACGGACAGGGTAGTAATATTTTGCATTGTACTTGACAAGTACTACTTATCAAAATGAGGTTTTGTGAATTTTTTACCCAAACGATAAAATAAAATAGCTGTCTAGTCTGACATTGATATCCATCGACTAGTATTCAAATTGAGTTATCAAAAACAGGCGAGTTGTTACGTTTTTGACAGTGTGCTTTGACTGATAAATCGGAAAGAAGGCGGATATGACCGAAAAGTAATGATTAGATAAAAATAAAAGCGCAAGCTGACATGTTTATCGTTCAAAACACTTTATGGTAAACACTCTTCTACATTGAAATCAACCGAACAAAACTGAACTTTTTTTTATTCAAACGCCGAAGCCTTTTAGGTAAAAAGTAAAATGTTTTTTGAAGAACGTAAGTACAACCAATACAAGCAAACCATTTTTTTAAAACTACTCAATTGCTGTTCCTCCTTTCTGTCTTTGGGTCAGCTTTTTAACAGTGCAGTTTTGCGTACAATGTCTGTCGATGTTTGCTTTTGTTTTGAACTGCTACTTCACGTCCAACCAACGCAATGTGAAATTATGACCCACAACAAAATGAAGTTTAATTGTCGCGCACTGTTGAATTTTCCCTGAGAGGGACATCAGCGGTGATCATGAATGGTTGACGTATTTGAGGAAGTACTGCTCGGACTTGGTTTGTAAGTTTACTGTCGTGAGCACTTCACCACCTGAAACAATATTGCCAATATCATTAGTAGCGTAGACAATCAGCGATAGAGTTACACATATTTCGATTGACCGGTTAGGGTTTGAGTAAAAAATCACTGTTGCTGCTGCATTGTACTGTCTTCCACCTTGTCATTATTTCTGTTGAGGTACACTACCTTTTGGGTGCTCTAATAAAGGCGGTATTATTACTTTTTACGTCGATTTAGATACATCTTTATTTTTATGTCATTTTTATCCTCGTTTGCGTCTGTCTATTTATATTGTCAGTTGTGGCCAAGTGAACTGGCTCACTGAGGATGCTAACTGGTAATGGAAGTTTGAATTTGGTGATTTTTTTTCTGTACAAGCGACCAATTTTTTGTGCGACCTTGAACTTTGTTACAGTACAAGAGTAAGTAGGTGCTTATTCTTTTTTTTGTGTAAAAACATCAACTTCTTTTTAAAATTTTAAAAAAAATTTGAATTTTTATTTTTGCAATTGTTTTATTTGTAAAATAAATTCCTTCTTTTTTTCACTCAATTAGTGACAACCTCTAGGTACACCTTAGAGGAGTCCATTCGTGAGAGCAAAATATGCATCGAAAAGCTGCTCGACAACAGATTCAATGAGGCCATTGAGTTGAGGTAACTTTCTAGTTATCGTTTTTTACATTTTAAAAAAATTGTAAATTGTAGTGGAAAGTACGCCCACGAGAGCATGTACCACTCTCATGGTCACTCCATATTGCTCTGGCTCAAGGCTTACCTTTCTCTGGAGATGCCGGAAATCGAAATCGCCCAGAAGTCATCAGCGCAAACGCTGGCGCTCTGCGAAGCCATTCGACCTCAGAACTTTCGTGATAACTTCATCGTGAAGCTTTTTATAAAACCAAGCTATGAAGAGTTTTCCGATGGTAAGGATGCTTGATTTTTACTTTTACGAAAAAAGTAACACTTTTCACTTAGAGGAAATACACGCCGAGCTAATTCGCACTGAGCAGATCGTCTTTGGCAGTATGCTGGAGTTTTTCGTTGAGCCCAGTCTTTTTGGGCTTGTCAAGATTTCCGTTCGTTTACGAAATAGTTACCTCATTTACAAGTGAGCTTCAAGAAGGCATAATGAGTTATCGTTTTGACAATTTACTATTTTTCTTCCAAACAGAGCCTTTTCCAAAATCTTCGACACAAAAGAGTGGTCGAGCACAATGTCACTGGAAGAGTTCAAGTCGGCCGTCAAATTGGGCCTGGGCGTCTACAACCTAATGTTCTCCACACTGCCCGAGAAGGTGCTCACCCTGCTGTCAGTGGTCGGCTACAAGGGCAGCCGCTACGAGGGCCTGAAGATGCTCAACGAGTCGGCCCTGGCGGACACACTGCACTCCTTCAGCTCAAAGATGGTCGTCGGCGCGTTTGAGTGCTTCATCGAGCAGGCCTTCAACGTGTACGCCACCAAGGCGCCAACGATAGAGAAGCACATTCAGACGGGACTGAAAATCAATGACCAGTGTATCTGGTTTCTCATCTTCAAAGGCCGTCTCAGGCTGATTGAAAAGGACGTGGAGGGGGCGTTGCAGGCGTACCAGGGCACGCTAGAGCTGACGGTTGATGTGAAGCAGATGGCCAACCTGTACATCTGGGAAATTATGTGGTGTCAAAGGTTGGTGATTTTAAGTAGGCTCTTTAAGGTTTCACTTTCACTTACATCTTCTTTGCCATAGTCTTCTCGGCAACTGGGAAAAGGCTCACGAGTTTGCCAGCCAGTTGCGCCAAAATTGCAACTGGTCCCTGCCCACATTCTACTACATGGAAGCGGCCTTTCTCTACATGCACTACGAGCAGTTGCTCTTTGAAGGAAAGGATGACTTCTACAGCTCAAAAACGGCGAATAAAATGCGACAGCAGGTGAAGGCGTTGTTGAGGTTAGTCAGATTGATGACAGCTGACATTCTTTTGACTAACTATAACATTTTTCTACTGCTGTCAGTGAAGTGCCAGTTCATGTAAAGGTAAGTTGTAGAAGAGTTGGTGCTCAAATTGTAAACAATTGCTGATTGCCGTACATTGATCAGCGATACGCTGGAAGGCGGATACCAATAGAAAAGTGCGTCTGTGAAAAGGTAGAGCAGTTCAATGAGGATGGAATACTGGTAGTACCAGGATATGTAAGTTATTTAAGGATTGAAAAAGTGCAAGCACATTCACATACATTTTTTCAACTAACCTTTAGGAGCTGCTGCTTGCGTGGAACATTTTCATCTTTATTGAGGGTCAGAAGCACCTTATTGATCCTATACTGAATCACCTGGAGCAGTGCCAAAACCACCATCAATTCGGAAAAAGTAAGCAAGTGGCAAGGAAAAGTCACTTCATCAGTAATCAGAAATTGTTTTTTGCAGGCAGTGAATACTATCTACAAATCTGTCTGCTGAAGGGCGTCTGCTATCGATGTCTGGGCGAGTACTCTTTGGCTGAAGCGGAGCTCTTTAAAGTCGTGGAAAGGTGAGGAAATTCTGTAAAGAAGACATTTTAGACTATTGAAAAAATGTTATCTTTGACTAGATTCGAGTACATCAAGCGAGACAAGCACCTGTCCCCGATGACCGCCTTGGAGCTGGCCATTGTGAAAATGTACCAGCACCGATGGGGCGAGGCACGTCACTGGTTCAACCGAACGAAAAGCGACTTTCCCAGCTACGCGCTGGAGCTGCTGGTTCAAATGCGAGTGCACAGATCACTGAAGGCAATGAGGGCCATGATGAGGCAGTTTCAGGTTCCCATTGAGTAGAATGATATGGTGGTGATGGTGATGGTGCAAATAAAGTTGGTTCTGTACAAATCGACCTTCTCCGGCTCTGTATTTCGTTTGTGGCAGGTAAACAAAAGCCTCCACATGATAAACTCATCAGATAAACTGCTGCAGCAGAAGGGCTGACAGCTGTTGGCCGAAATTTGAACCACACATTGGCAAACCTTTGAAGCACAAGCACAATTATCACTGCACTGATTTACACACGGGCACTTGAACTTAGCGCAATGTTTGCTTTGCGCTCACTATGGCTTCCAAGTGGCCATCATCATCGTCGTCCACATCTGCCACCGTCAAGTGCTTCTTCACTGCTGCTTCTTCGGGAAGAGGAGGATCGAATTGCCCAACAACAACTTCCACAAGTTCGGAGGCGTCTTTCATCAACTCAGCTCAGAACGACGTGTCCATTAGCATCGGCGAGCTGTCGAGCACACTGTCGGAAAGTGGAAAAACCTCAAGTGACCACAGCGCTGGACCGATTGACTTTGATCGACACGCGTTTGATCGCCCCTACAGCATTGAAGTGGCCAAAAGTTACTTCGTTCTAGGCGTTAGCCTTTGGGTGATGTTCATCCTACTCATTTACGTTTTTAAGTTTTTGAGTGATTTGAAAGACAGCTGAAAATGCATCATCATCGACAAGTGATCTCCAAGTTAACCAAAACAACTAACTATAAACTCTTATCTCTCAAGACAAATTATCTAAGTTTATTTACAATTTTTACTTATGCCAAAGAGTAAAAAGTGTCTCCGATCTTTTTACATGAACTAATTATCAACAATAAAAAATGTGATACTTTTTCAAAAGTTCTATATTTTCCAAAATAGTATTTAGTAGATTGCCCTTTTTTCACCATTATTCGTCAGCCACTTTCACCTTGTGGCTCATCAATCATGTTCTTTCCATTTTTGCTACTACTTGAACTTTACCTAACGAATCAAGCCGCTGCTCNAAATTATCTAAGTTTATTTACAATTTTTACTTATGCCAAAGAGTAAAAAGTGTCTCCGATCTTTTTACATGAACTAATTCTCAACAATAAAAAATGTGATACTTTTCAAAAGTTCTATATTTTCCAAAATTGTATTTAGTAGATTGCCCTTTTTTCACCATTATTCGTCAGCCACTTTCACCTTGTGGCTCATCAATCATGTTCTTTCCATTTTTGCTACTACTTGAACTTTACCTAACGAATCAAGCCGCTGCTCCACCACTTTCAGTGCCTTTGAAAAGAGACAACCACCATCAACCAGTGGCCAGTGTTCGCCAGTCATCAAAACCACTTCAAAATCGCCTACTTCTTTTCCACCGCTTGAAACGATCAGTCGCATCATCAGATGATGAAGACTCTAATTATGGTGATGACGATGAAGATGAGCGCGACGATCTCAGCAACTGGAGCTTCATGACAAAGGACAGGCTCCTGAAGAATAAAGACGTTGAAACGGAATCGCTGGAAGGCGAAAGGTCGCTTTACAGTGTGCTGCGCTCAGCCGCACGGGACTACAATGATCTGGGCAGCACCTTCAGTGGCTTCTTCATGAACTCCGCCTCGAAGCACGCCCTCATGAATCGGGTGACCAGGCAGAAGGCGGACAAGTACATGGCACAGCTGGTCGAGAAGAGACAGGCGGAGCTGGCTAATCAGACGATTGGACCTTCAGGTGCGCCACCACGTCCACCGGTCACTGATGTCGCTTTTAGCGTCTCCACGCGCAACCTCTCTGAAGTGATCATTCTGCTGCTCTCCTTTGTCCTGCTGCTCGTCTACACCACCGCCTACTGGCTCTTCTTCAGGTGGAAAGGAGGTGATAATGATTCCAGAAAAAGAAAGCTAAAGCTGAGAGACCTTCTGAAGGGCAAAAACATTGTCCTGATTAAGGAAGAGGAGGAGAAAAGGAGGAGGGTAAAGAGAAGACGGAGAAAAGTTGGCAAAAAGAGAAAAGGGAGATGAGTGCTTGTAAACCTGTGTGTTAGGATTAGTAAAGAAAAATAAAAATCATTGCTGCTTTCACAAAAACCGGGTTGATCACAGAGAAGGGGCAGTCTTTCTAAGTGGCCTGAGGTTTTGTCGGGAAGTGGTTTTTCCCCAAGAGAGCCTTTTCACACTTGTGCACTAGCTACGGAAGAAACACACGTTGGATTTCACTTGTGTTTTGGCCGTTGCGGAGTTTCTCACCTTTCAATTGCCTCACTAGTGCTCAGTCTATCCACACAAACTTGCTTCATCACCACCAGAATGTCTCTATCCAAACTTTCGCAACCTCTTCCGGAGTTGTGTCTTCTGGCGACCTTTAGCCAGCTGAGCTTATGGGACAGAATTAGTGCTCGGAAAGTCTGTCCCGAGTGGCACCGCCTAGTTGGAGAAGTCAATCGACGTATTTCATCACTTGTCATTGCATTTAATGTCGCGCACTTGAAGCACATCGCCAATCAAGTCAATGGTTTATCGATTGCATCGGAACTCAGTGTTGAACTGCTGACAGCAAACGATGGTTCGCCACTGTACCCAGTTCATCGCGCACCCAATTGCTTGCACTTCTCCTTTAAAAAACTAAAAAGTTTACCCACAGCGCAGCAAATCATTTCTTTGTTTCCAGAAGTCACCGATCTCGCTTTTTTGGGCTGGAACATCGATAGAGGCTCATCTCTGGACGCGGATATTGACCAGACAACTGAACAATATCTGCTAGAAATGCTGCAGAATGAAGTGTGGCGTAGTCGGTTGACTAAGCTCAACGTGACGGGAGACTTTTCAACTGACAACGGCACTCCAAAGCTCTTTGATGCCATTAATGCTCTGCCTGCTCTGAAATACTTGACCTTAAGCGTGAACAAGATAGAAGAACTGCCAATTATGTCTCAGCTAACAGAGCTTAACTTTGGACCGTTTTCTTCTGGACCTATCGCTGACGTGACACCCTTCATACGCTCCCTTCAAAAGTATGCTGCCACTAACTCTGGTGGCCAGATTACTGTAGATCTATCTGATGGCATTGCTCTCATTCCACAACTAAGCGAACTTGATTTCAACAAGCGCAGCATTATCAGTCGTATAAGCTTTTTTCCAATCAGTTATAGACATACCAATTTGCTTTCTCTTTGTACCAACTTTTCCAACCTCACTTCACTGTCTCTTCGATTTTATTCCTCTCAATGTAGGACACTTTTTGCTGCCCTGGCAAATCTTCAACAGCTGTTTCATCTGTACATGGAGATTTGCTTTGCCGATGATGATGATGCTCCAGTTCCACCAGTGTTTGATCCTCCAAAGGAAAAATTACTTACAGTGAAGGCACTTGACTTGGATTTATCGGTGGTTTCTCATTTAGTTGATTTGCAATCGTTGAACCTGCCACTGACAATGCCCAATCTTCAGGCCATTCACTTGGATCAGGTGGATTGCCGTGAGTGTGACATTTCAAGCAGAGAAAGATCAAAACTGGACACTATTCGCTTTTGTATTCAAACACATCTACAGTATCTGCATTCCAGCACTGGTGTCCCTATTGATCGACTTAACTATAACAGTGGGATAGATTTTGGCTCTACAAAAGATTTGCTTGCTAAAAAGTAATATTTTTCTGTATGATTTTATTTTTGGACGGATTTTGTATCTTTGACTTTATCGATAAGAAAAGCATGATAAAAATAAACTTTTTTAAGTTTATTGCCTTGGTGCTAAAAACTAAACATCACTTTACTCCAATCTGGCCTCAGACATGTGTTAACTGTGCTGTCACACTTCCTTTCCTTTCTAATCTATACAACTGCAATCTCAAAATCACTCTTGGCGACAGTCACAATCTTGACATAGATGAAAACAATAAAATGCGCACAAGAAAAAGGTTTTAAAGCAGCATTGTGTGTGTAACTTTTGTGTTTGCACTTGATACTCAACTAAAACCATGACGGAAGCTCAAGAGAACGCTGAAATCGTCAATCCACTCATAGAAAGAAGTAAAAACATCAGCATTTTTCAGTCACAAACTCGCCTGGAAACTGAGAGCAGATCTCAAGGTGTGGGCAATCAAAGTCAACAGGTGACAACTGCATTCAATGTTCACTACTGGCGTGGCTTGGTTCCGCGGATTTTGTTCTCAATTTTTCTCATCTTTTTTGTTGTTCTCTTTTTCACCTACTTGAGAAGATTTATTTTGGAGTTAAAGCTAAAAAATTTATAATTTTCATTGCAACTCTGTATTTTAAGCATATTCACACGCATCTTTCTAAAAAATTGTTTTTGAAGTGCCGGAAACAGAGCTTTTAAAACTGAAATGTAAAAAACACTCNGATTTATTTTGGAGTTAAAGCTAAAAAATTTATAATTTTCATTGCAACTCTGTATTTTAAGCATATTCACACGCATCTTTTAAAAAAATTGTTTTTGAAGTGCCGGAAGCAGAGCTTTTAAAACTAAAATGTAAAAAACACTCTNTTTTCATTGCAACTCTGTATTTTAAGCATATTCACACGCATCTTTCTAAAAAATTGTTTTTGAAGTGCCGGAAACAGAGCTTTTAAAACTGAAATGTAAAAAACACTCTTTTTTAAAAAAGCCATTTTCATGCCAAGTTAGGTTACGCTCACTTTTTCGGTTACCAACTGTACTTTGTATAAGTCAATTTAATTCTGTAGGCATGAACTACAGTCGATTGTAGTCAAAAACAATAAAATGTATATACAACTTTGGTGGATACCATTCACAGTTACTTGAGAAATGCCGCCATTGGATCTTCACTTCTCTGTCTCTTTAGGTGATACGCCTCAATCTCCTCGTTGGTGATGGGGCCCTCTTCATAGTTGGAGTGGTACGACCGTTTTCGTTCGTCCATCTGAAGAAGCTTTTCGGCATTCTTTTTGCTTTCCTCCTCCTTCTGCAGTGCCACTTTGAGCTTCTCTTGGTCAATGGAGTCATCCGCATCCTTCTCCTCTTTCTCTTTTGACTTTTTGCTTTTCTTGTCCTTCTTCTTCTTTTCCATGTGTTGCTCCAGCAATGACATGTTGTCGTGATCCTCTGGTTCATTATCTGCTTCTTGAGAAAGAAGGACATTGTTTGTCTCATTTGTCTGAGGGAAAAGTTCGTTAGATTTGACAAAATAGTTAACAAAATCAAGCCTTACCTTTTGGCCCAGTGTTCCAGTGCAGTATGAGTTGCGAATAAAGGAGTGACAGCACTTGTAGCCCCACTTGCCGGCCTTCCAGAATGAGCCCCAAACTGTGGTGTGATTGTTGATGAAGACGTCCTCCCGGTACACCGACTTGATGGGCGCTCTTTTCTCGCCCTTGATAATCTTCCCCGTCCGGGAGTACTCCACGTAGTCTTCCGTCTGCGCAAAGATGAGCTCCTTTGGGGGAGCCTGCAGGTACTCCTTGCCGCCGTACTTGCTGAGGATGCTCTCCTTGATCGTCTCCTTAATGTCCTCCTTCTTCGAGTCAAACTCCTTGTTTATCAGCTCGGCCTTGGTCGGCTCTGCCTGCAGGTGCACATCGACGCCCTTGTCGGTCAGCTCCCAGGAGAACAGCTGCGCCTTGGAGACCTTCTGCGTGTCGCCGGTGTAGCGGACAAAGTTGTCGCCGGCGTACTGCAACTCCGCCGGTGTCTTTCCCGTCTCCCGGTACGGATTGTCTCGCATCGAGCGAGTCTTTGGGTCGTAGTACGCTGACTCCAGGTCGAGGTTGCGCAGGTACTTGGCGGTGTCCTCGCGGATGCGCAAGTTTCGCACTGTGATTCGCTGTTTGCTGTCCACCTTGGTGCCGGGCATGTCGATGTGATCAGCGTACTTTTCGTCTTCATCCTCGTCCGAGTCACCAGGGGCGTCGTCATTGCTGATTAGATCCTGCTGCTGCAGCTTCTCCTCTTTCAACAGTCGCTTTGCTTCCTCCACCTTGGCGTGCTCCTCAATCACCGAGCGGTACATCATTGGATCGTAGCCATTCCATCGGTCGCGTTTCCCATCAAAGTCGTGCTGCAGCTTCGGAAGGATGAGCTCATCGGCGGCAATGTCCTCCCCACTGAACTGTGCGCCCACTTTTCGAGGCCTCTCAAGGCAGTCCTTCCTCTTGTGTGTCATTGCGCCGCAGTTTTCGCATGCACCCTTTCGAAATTTGGTAGCAGTTTTGCCTTTCTGTCCTCGAACAAAGTACTCATTTAGACTGGCAGCGGGCTTGACTTTCTCTTCTGGAGCTCGTTGATGCTTCAAGGTAGGGCCTTGTGAGCCATAGTACCACGGGGTGCTACTAATGTACTGAGGAATGTGCGGGTTGATGTCTCTGTAAAATAAAAAGTTTGAAATCGGCAAAACTTCCGAGACAAAGCACTTACTTTCCTTCTTCATCTACCTCAGCGGGCGCTGTTCCGGCCTTACGGGCCTCTTCAAGTTCTTTGGCCTTTTTGTAGTCTTCTCTACTTTGTTTTTTAGTTTCAGCCGCATCTTTACTGCGAATAATTTCCGACACTGCTTTAGATGGCGCGTTCATGCTGAGACGTTTTCTGATAGCACAGTTTTTGTTTATTTTGAAGTGTACGCAACAAAATCAGGCAAGCAAAACAAGCAGCCACGATGCTGTGGTCGGTGAGCACCGCTGCACAGCGCAATGCCGCTATCCAAAACTGCCTTTTCCAGTCCTTTGGCCAGTTCGGTCAACACCAGAAAAACACAGTGTTGAATTGAACAAGTAACGAGTTTATTAGTAACGATTGATTAACTTTTAAGGGTACAAAAATAATTATAATCAATGAAATAGAATTGAAACGAAAATCAATTTTTGAAATAATTTTTCACAAAGGCATCGAATAAAGTGTCGGTGACCGATTCCCTTTTTATATTTTTCACCTTAGACAGCGTCTCCCTCTTCAATTGTCTATCTAGATCTCTCTTTCGCTTCTTCTTAGGAGGCTGCGAGTTGACCAGCTCAACAACTCTTTGCTTCACCTGCAATCGCTTCTCTAGCTTGACGGCTTCTCTAGAGGGCTTTGCGTAGTCTTCGTGATCTTGAATTTCAACTAAGGATGTGGTCTTTTCGTTTTCGTCTTTGCCTTCTTCAGCTTCCAGCATTGATTGGTGAAGCTCACGAAGAGTAGAGGAATGTAGAACCGCCATTCCGCTGATTGTCTCAATGAAGTTTTTCATCGCCGGATGATCAACTCTTTCAAATGGAATGTTGGCCGCAGCAAAGCTCTCGCATAGAAGAGTATTGAACTCGTCCTTGGTCATGTTCTCCATTTGGGCTTTATGGTCATTCAGAACCTTTTCGCATTTGACATGCCACTTGCAGGTCAAGTGTTTTTGAACACCTGGGTTGGTGGAATTGAGTATCGATCGGCAAACTTTGCATAAGAGCTGACCGTTGAAAATTTTAAAGGTTTCTGGATGATTTTCGACAATCGTGGTGAGGAACGTTCCAGCGCCATATGATTTTGACTTGTACTTTAAAATGTGGTACTTCCCAGTGAGATGACGTTTGATATTGGCGCCGGACTTGCCATCAATCTCCTTATCGCAGATGACGCAGTAGAGCTGGAAAGGCTTTGACAGGTTCGGTCGCTCTTGGACCAGATAGGGAAAGAGCTTGACATATTCGCTTGGGCTTAGTCCGGGCTCAAACTTTGGGTTGCCCGGGTCCACCTTCGGATGGTAGTTCATTGTGAGCTTTACCGAGAAAAGATGAGATTGAGATTGAAGTGATTCGGATCAGGATGTTGCCAGAAGCTGGGTCGTGAGTTTGTTTGGGAAAAGCGCACTTCTGCGAGAAGCACGCCGCAGAGAAAGGCAAAAGTTGCTCCTGTTTGGAAAGCCAACTTTTTCCTTCCTTCAGCGTTGACAGCACAAGTGCTGCCTGCACAACTGGCTGGCAGCAAAAGTGCACAGGCGAGGGAAAAGTTGGTTTTTCCGAGCAGGACAAACCACAGAGTGCGCATGCAAAGAGCGCACACATCGCTTTGGCCAGGGAGAAAAGAGTGCATCGTGCTGGTCAGCGCACTGTGACGAGCTCTCCGGAGAGCAGCACGCTGAAGAGGCACAACTTGCAGCGTTTTGTTCCCGACTAACTTTGCTGATTTGGCCCACCATGGACGAAGAGGGGGAAGGCGCCCAGGAGATGCCCGCGAAAAGCGAGGAAGTCATCGAGGAGGTGACCGTCGTCACCAGCTACCACCACCCCATCCACGTCCTTCAGCTGGCCGACAGTGATGATGCTGGCCAGCCCCAGCCGCAACCGCAGCCCGCGACCTGGCACTACAAGACCGGAGCGCAGTTCCCCGCCGAAGAGAAGACGCCCCGAAAGGGCTCGGTGCTGGCGGCCACGCTGGAGCGCTTTCCCATGATTGAGATCCTCTCGGTGGAGAAGAAGGGCCGAACGTACGGGGCCTACTGCCACACCTGTGATAGCAGCTACTCGCGAATTTCCGCTCGCAGCCTAAGTGACCACGTCTTCTCGTCGATGCACGAGCGACGCTCGCTGGTGCCCGCCGATGCCGCCAATGTCGACCGAAAGGAGCACGCACGTCGGCAGTTGATCCTCTCCAACAAGAAGTTCGCCGACTTCATTGTACTGCACGAGGACCAGACGCTCTCGTGCAAGTACTGCAACGTGGAGCTGCAGTTTCTCAACGATAAGCTCTCCGCCCATCGGCACACGCTCAAGCACAAGATGGCCGCCGGCCAGAGGTCCATCGACCTGACCGAGGGGGAGCGCCTCGCTAAGATCCAGGCGCTGATGCGCCAGTTCCCCGACGTCGTCGGCATGGTCACTGACATGGACGTGCACGTCAATGAGGAGTACTTTGAGCACTACAAAGCTCGCGAGCAGATCACCCTCCAGTTGAATGATATATTCTGCAAGATCTGCCGAAGAAAGTTCGTCCGGACGGATCCGAATGGCTATCGCGATGCCATTCGCGATCACCTGAAGACCAAGCAACACAAGCGAGCCCTGGAGAGCCTCCAAGCGCAGGCTGATGGAGATGGAGATGGGTCAAAGGTGAAGCCGGCAAAGTTGCCGCCCAAGAAGATCAGCACCTATCGGCACGATCCGGAGGACCTGAAGGAGGCTGCCCGAGCTCTGATTCAGGCAAAGATGACTCCATCCCAGTGCGACCGCTCCAGTGGCCGGGTCATACAGGCCGTCGTGCGCCGGCAAATCTCATCCAGTTCAATCGTCAAAGGACTACAGCTTCTAGGCGCTGGTAAGTGTGGATGTGCCAACTTTAAATGATCCTGTTTTAACAATTTTCTTTACTCAGACTACCCTCGCAACAAGTCCAGCGCAAAGAAAAAGAAGAAGACTCACATAAAACCTAAATCATCACCTCCTCCTCCTCCTCCTGCGCCTACCACCTCGTGGCAAATTGTTCAACAATAAAAAAACTTTATGAAATCAATATAGATGTTGAATTTATTGGCGTGGAAAATACTCCAACAGCAATTTTTTAGTAAGCAGCGCCTGGCTGTCGTTTTTCTGCAATTAGAAACAGATAAGTAAAATTCAAACCGATGCAAACACCTTGTGAAAACTCACCTTCGTTAAGAAGTTGAAATCCTCTCTTCAGTGCTGGGGTGGACACTCTTCGGTGGACGATTGCCTGAGTGACCTTCCGAAGGCCTTTGTCGCACTGTGAAACGGGCAGCTTCGCCTCGGCAAAAACACGGGCCAGCTCCTTCAGGTCCTCGTCGTCGTGTTTGAAGGTGGAGATCTTTCGCAGAGGCATCTTCACCGGCCTCTTCTTTTGGCTTTCAATCGCTGCGTTTCGTGCTTGAGCTTCCACCTCTTTGCGGTGACGGGCAGATCTCAGGTGGCTCTTAATGGCACTGCGGTACCGTCCACCGGTGCTGGTTATCTTTTGATAGCAAATCTTGCAAAAAATATCATCCGCTTTGAGGGTGGTCTCCTCGGGCAGCTTGTGCTGCTCGAACAAGGATTCATTGACCTGTCGGTCAGTTTCCGTCACTGTGCTCACAACGTCGGCAAACTCGCGGACCACCGCCTGGCGAAGCTTCGCCAGACGGACTTTATCTTGAGGACAGTCAACTCCTGCAGCGTTCTGGTGCCTCAGTGTTCGGCGATGAGAGATGAGCTTGTTGCTTTGAAAGGGCAGTTGAACTAAGCAGAACTTGCAGGTCAGTGTTTGGTCGACTTCGTTGTAAATGACAAAGTCGCTGTACTTTTTCAAGTACACCTGTCGACGGATGATCTCCTTGGCGTCACTATCCGGCGGCACACTGGCCCGTTGAATGTGCTTCGTTGAGGTGAAGTGCACCTTTAAATCAGCCGCCGATATTCGAGAGTACTTTCGGTCACAGGTGAGGCAGTAAGCGTTGTAGGTCTTTCGCTTTCGGTCAACAGAAAACACCTCGAGCATGGGAAACTCCTTGAGCAGGTACGACATGCATGACCCTATCCTCGGCAGCTTCTCGCTTGCAGGGTACTGAGTCCCGCTTTTGTACGCCCAACTCACTGTCGGTTCGGGAAGTTTATTTATAAAAACCGCCTCCTCGCCGTTGGACATCTGAATGAGCATTGTTGTCGGCTGCGTCAGCGTTTCCAATGTCGGGTAAACGACAATCGGCTGTGCCAATGTAGTGGTGACAGTTTCAGGAAAGTCGACTCTCTCGAGCGTTGAATATGGTTCTGGATCCATGATCTCAGTGATGATTAGAATGGACTTCGAAAACCTACAAGAAAAAGTAATTTTCGTTAGAAAAGCAGTTTTGTTTTGCTTGCTCAGCTGTCGGTTTGACTCCCTGAGCTTGAACGAGGTGCCTGGTTAGCGTCCACCGTGCTACGCAGTGCTGCTCTCTGTAGCACTGTGAAAGTTGATCCTGACCGTCGCTCTTACTGGGAAACACGTGGCCAACTTTTGGTTTGAAAACAATCAATTTCCACCCTAGGTGCAGATAGACACGTGCTCAAGCCACGTGAGATTTCAGATCGTGCGATTTGTTTTTCTAATATTTTGATACTTTGAACTTCCGAAATCCTCCTAAATCCTCACGAAAATGGGGCGCACAAGAAAACGCGGAAAGCAGTTCATTGACATGAAGAACTCCGTCACATTTAAGCTAGTGGCTCGAAGCACTGATGACCCGCTGTTCTGTGACCCTGAAGCACCACAGTACGTTCTGGTGGAGAAAAAGTCCAAAGAGGTGATACCGATTGAACTGGACGACAACGTTGGGCCGGAGAAGAAAAAACTGGACAAAGATTCCCGGCGAGCAGAACAGGCCAAATTCGGCGTATACTTTGACGATGATTACGACTACCTGCAGCACCTGATTGACGCCGAAGACGTGCCCACGTTGAAGGGCATTGAGATTGTGTCCAAGGAAAAGATGCAAAGTGACGACCTCCCGGTCGAACTGGATGAGCTGGTAAATCCACAGCCTTCCACCAGCAAAGGCGTTGCAGCAGCAAAACAGAAACCCACTCTTATGCTACCATCATCCGTCTTTGAGTCGACTGTCCGCGAAAAGGAAGCTCTCACAAAGCGGGCCGCTCTGCCCGTTGGCCCCCAACTCGACTGGGATCCCGATGTGGTCGAGGCAATGGATGATGATTACAATTTCGATGACCCAAATAACCAAATTGATGATGATTTCGTCAGTCAAGCGATGGTGAAGGGAGAAGCCTTTGAAGAGGATAACTCGTATTTGGTATGTTTGCTTTCTTACCATAGCTCCCAGCTTTACTCGTTGACTAACCACTTTTTTCTTTCAACAGTACGACTTTACCTACAAATCATTGCCCAAAAATCTTCCACCTGTAGACGAACAGGATCAAGAGGAGCAAGAGTTTGATGATGATGATGACGACGATGATCTCTCAGTGTGTGGTGCCGCCAGCGGTTCTGAAGACTATGACTCAGACGAAGCTCGTGATCTGTTTCCCAACTCGATGGCCCACATCAAGGATTTACTGGCGAAGAAGCACATTAAAAAGTACTTCAACATGGAAGGAACTGACGATCAGTTTGACGACGGCGCCTCAGCCAAGTCCACTGGATCGCGCTTTACCGAGTACTCAATGTCCAGCTCGGTGGTGCCACGAAGTGAACAGCTGCGCCAGCTTGACAGTCAATTTGAGAAAATGTTCATCAGCGAGTACGGCGATGAAGAGGCGATCGGCGCCCTGGACGGGGACGAGGAGTTTGAGGAGGTGGACGGCGAAATGGACCCCAGTCAGCAGGAGCTGATGAAGGCGGCGCTGGAGGAGTTTGCCGAGGCGAAGCAGGAACGCGCCGGCATCGAGTACGTCGGCAATAGAGAGGCCATCGACTTTGTTCGCACTCGATTTGTCGCTAAGCACTCTAAAGCTGGCCGCGATGATGGCGAAGACTCTGAGTCAGAATCAGGTGATGACTCTGACAGCGACTCCGAGTACGAGGAGATTGAGGTGGCGGACACTGGACGAAAGGGCGACAAGGAGCGACTGGACTGCGAGTCAGTGCTCAGCACCTTCTCAAACACCACCTACCATCCCAGGGTAAGTGTGCAATGTATTCAAGTACTGTGCAGGCATCTAACTCTAAGTTTCACCCACAGGTTCTTCAGGACACTGACCGCTACGGAAACGTCCTCCTCGGTCGGCAGAAGACGGCCCGTCCGAATCACATTCGATTTGACCCCCGCACTGGCATGCCGCTCGCCCCTGCCGCCAACGATCCACAGCTGCTCACTTCTGGCAATCTCGCCAAGTTGGACGCCNTACTGTGCAGGCATCTAACTCTAAGTTTCACCCACAGGTTCTTCAGGACACTGACCGCTACGGAAACGTCCTCCTCGGTCGGCAGAAGACGGCCCGTCCGAATCACATTCGATTTGACCCCCGCACTGGCATGCCGCTCGCCCCTGCCGCCAACGATCCACAGCTGCTCACTTCTGGCAATCTCGCCAAGTTGGACGCCCTGGAGACGGGCACTGCTCGCACCAACGCCACCCGACTGTCGGAGCTGTCGGTGCGCCCGAAGAATGAGACGGTGGAGGAGCGACGGCAGCGGAAGAAGGAGCTGAAGGACTACCGAGCGCAGCGACGGGCGGAGAAGAAGGCCAACAAGGTGGCCTTCACCGAGGAGAAGCTTCGAATGGCCAAGCAGTCGCTGAACAGTGTCGTCCAGAAAAAGGTCGCCGTCCTGTAGAAGATAGTGAACGTGATCTATATTTGTTTGTTTGTTTTGTCAATGTACAGATGTTTTTTTCGGGGAATCACGATGTGTAAGCACAATATTAAAGAATGTATAAAACATGCAAATAGAGTTCGCATTACACCCATTCCACCAGATCGTCCTTCTTCGTCGGATCTTCCAGTGCATCGTAGTCCGTCACTTGGATGGCCAGCTCTGCACACAGCAACTCCATTACCGTGTCAATCTTCTCATTGATGATCAGGCTGGCTGCCTTGTCGTGTTTCGTCTTCTGCAGGTTGACAATAACTAGATTGCCTGGTTTAGTCGGCGCTTCCTCTTCACCGCCAGTCGAACCATTGACCATCTGATCGTGCTTTCGCTTCGCAGGCTTTCGCTTCTTTGCGCCCTTTCTAACTGCGTACAGCGGAAGTCTGCCGGCAGGGTTGATTTGCAGTGTGGTGCCGAGGCAAATGGACAAATCGGCCAGTTTAGAGTTTGAGATTGCTAAGTTGAGTTCCTTCTCCGGCAGGTCCTGCTCCCAGTCGAGAATGGTGTCAGTCAGGTGGCCTTTGCACCCTCGGGTGTTGGAAATTCGTGGACAGGCGTCGCCGGTTGGCTTGAGGCACATCGTCGGACTGGGTCGGTTGCGAATAAATCGACGCCTACAGTGTGAGCATTCGTCAAGGTAGTAGTTGCCATGCAGTTCAGAGATTGATGACCGAGGAAAGTTGGCCTTCAAGAAGAGACCGTCGATATTTTGTGACACGACATAGGAGACATGGCCACTGGCCATTAGAGATCGAATTGCCATGTGACTAAAGGTAGGTTTGCACTCGTCAAATGACAGGATTCGCGAAGTTGGCACTGGGAGGCCTTTCTTTTCACACGTCCACACGCCATCGGGTCCACTAAAGGAGATAGACAAAAGCGGGAGTTTATTAATTGACGGAGTAGCAATTAACAATCAGAAAGGAAACATTACCGAAAATCGGGAATTCCCGCAGAGGTGCTCAGTCCGGCGCCGCAATAGACTACGCAGTGCTTCGACTGACGGATAAGCTCTGCCAATTGGCGCACCTTCTCACGCAGCACTTCCTCCTCGTCGTACACCTGAAAAGCACATGTTCAGTTCAGTATTGAGGAGTTGCCAAAAGCACAAAAAGTTCCTTGGTGGAGTTTAGAAACCAAACACTTACTTCAGGTAGGCCGCACACCCCTTTGTTGTCGTAGTCCGATAAACCACTTGCATAGTTAACGGCCATATCTGAGATCGGATGTGAATAGATTGGACTTGATAAGAAGGGAAACTCAGCGGTTGAGACACAGACTCTGAGACACTCGTTTGAAAATAGTGCAAATCTGTCAAGCTATTCTAACTCTAAAGGTTCAGTGAGCGAGGGAACTTGTTTTGGTCCAAAAGTCACTCTCTCGTTAAGTCTCTGACAACAACTAGTCACCAAGCAGAAAAGTCGCATTTGATCATCAATTCCCGTTCGAAGTTCAACCAATTTTTGTCAACATATTCGTTCTCATCTTTAAAAAAATTCACCGTAAGCCACCATAAGTTTATGATTGAACCCTTAGAGATCATGGCTAAGAAAATCACATCGGAAATGAAATGCAATTGCAGTGACTGTCTCCGTCATGTTAGTGAGCTTCTTGGATCTCTGGTATACGAAACCTGCTTCTGTGAGATGAAGCACAAAGTGCTGCTTGAAACGGAAAAAGGACTTAAAGAAGGCTCAAAGAAGTTTTATAAGAAGCTGAATATAAAGTGCCTTAAAATATGCAGAGATGTAAGCAATGAAGTTGGCTACTTAGTAGTTCCCATCTGCCTTCCAAGGGCGGACGCTTTGAGGACACCACTGGACACCAAGTTCTTATATGATATCATATCATTTAACGAATCATATCCGTGCATAGCTTTTAAATCTCACTACACGATTACCATTTTAATCCAGAAACTCGTTTACGCAATGAAACTGGCCGTAGACCGTCTAAGCCAACATAATCGACTCGATGAGTTGAAAGAAAATATCAAATACCTTCTCATTACTGTCACAACTGCTCTAAAGTCTGATTTAGACAAACTGGAAGAACGAAGACAAATTGAAGCTCAAAATCGGACTGCAGCTCTGCGGGTAAAAAGAGAGCTAGAAGAGTAGTGATGTAAAATGGATTTTTGATAAATAAAGTTTGAATTTTTTGTGCTACTGTACAATTCATTGGTGTAGACATCGAGAGCTCGTTTCACAGTGAATAGTGCATTCTTTTTTATTGAAGTTGAACCTTTAATGAGTAAATTATGTTCAATAAGAGTCAATGAGGAGAGTATGTTGTGTTGCCATGTATATAAATCTGGTAAATTGGTAAATGGTGGGGAATGAAGAATGATGAAAAAATAAAGTGAAGAAGTAAAGTCAAACAAAACATTCAAGTCAATAAGTATTTCTTTTATGTATAATAGCCATTCGTCAGAGGATAATAAATGCAAAAATAAATTATATATATTCCAAAAAATAATAACAATAAAGTAAATGTGTGTGTCTTGTGAAAGAGAAAGAGAGAAAAGATTTCCGCAGAGTGTGGGTGAAAGCAGTGTGTAGGCAGGGCAAAAGAGGAGGATTCGTCAATTCCTCAATTACTGTCAGTGCTTTTTGGGTGGCTGTAAAGGGCAGGCTAGAGAAAAGTGGCTACAATATTCTTATTCTACTGATTGCGTGTGTGTGGAAGGAGAGAGGGCATTTCTACATTCAAATAAGGCACTTCAAATGTATAATAACTGGGAATTTTGCTCGATTATCTACAAAATCAAATTAAATCTACCTATAATTTTTTCATTGTACATAAAGACTAAAGTGAAAAAATGTACAAGCACAAGCACAATGCTGTCCAGAAGAAAGGGGGTAAGACTAATTACACATTTCACCCTGCCGCGAGTTGGAATCACCGGAATTAAGTGTAGAATAATAGAGAGAAGAATATATCAACTTTGCAATAGATATTCTTGTGGGTGTGTGTGTGTGTGTGAGAACAACAGAAGAGGAGTCAACAAGGAAGTAGTAGCAGTAGTGGTAGTGTATCTCACTGTCTGGGAGTGATATTTATAATTTCAATGCTTGTGGCGTAGTCTGTGTGATGTCAGATGTGTTCATCAACACAACACTGTAATTAACGTGCAGTCTGTAAGGTTTGGGGCGGTGTGTGTGTGTCCAAAAGAAAGAATGGTCAAACTTAACAAACAACAGAAAAGGGGTGTGGAGGGGGAGGAAAAGATGAAAACAAAAACAAAACGTGGAAAGCAGAGTAGAATAATCTTTGCAAGAGTCTTTTGAGAACTAAAAGGTGGTGGTGGTGGTCATTAGACCTTATTTGAGTGATGGGGGCAGNGAATAATCTTTGCAAGAGTCTTTTGAGAACTAAAAGGTGGTGGTGGTGGTGGTCATTAGACCTTATTTGAGTGATGGGGGCATAGAGCTTTGCTACAAAGTTTGCTTGTCTGGAGGGGGTGAATCGAGACGGATGACGGGGAGGATGGGTGTGGTAGAAAATAAAAGATGTTTGTGTATATTTAAAAATAGAGATAAAAGATTGTTAGATGTGTGGTGGTGGTGGGTGTGTGATTGGTGCTGGCAGAAGTGGTTTCTCTCATCAGAAAAGTCGTGTAAATGCACAGTGGAAGTCTATTACTTCACTCGGGTGAATACTAGGTCAAAACTAACAGTGTTACTTGTCTGGTTGGGGTGTGTGAGTTTAATATATGAGAATGATGATGGTATTATGTAACAGCTAAATCTTTGCAAATTCTACAACAAAAGATATATCATATATAGAAGTTCAGTAAAATAGTTTAACGATTATATAATTAATTATAATAGTTGTGTGGGTGTGTGTGGGTATATTTATATAGTTATATATGCAAATTGAACAAGAAAAAACGAGAGAATAAGAAGAGAAGGGAAAGAAGAAGACAGTGATCGGAGATGTGGCAAGAAGAGCGCGCAAAATTAAATTAGTGTAGTCCGTGTGAAGTGTTGGGGGCTTGTGTACAAAGGGGGACAGAAGTGTGAAGTGTCGTGAAGGAAAGGAAGAGAGTGCTCAGGAGATGAGATGAGATGCAGAGTGAAGTCAGGTGAGAGAGCGAAGGAAAAGTAGAAGAGGAAGTTACACTACTTCTACTTCTTCTTCGCGTGCAGCATCTCCATGAGCAGTGTCTGCGTGGGAGCGCTGCCGTTGATGTGTTTGTAGTAGAGGAAGTCCTCGCCACGCAACGTCAATGCCCGAATCTCAGGCACCAGAGCGAGTAGTTGCTGGAATTTATCCTGTGGCAGCGGGAAAAAAGGGAGAAATGATTAGGCGAATAGTAAAGGAAAGTTCGAATGGATTCAATTCAATTGAAAACAAAGTTTCATACCGCAATTTGCGGGTAAAAGTTGACAGTGTATTCGAGGAGAGCCTGTTTCGTCTGCTCGTGTGCTTCATGGACGAGCTTGTAGTTGGTCAGGCCACGGACCTCTGCGGTGGAAAAAGGGAGTTGCATTAGTATTTAGAATGAGTTTTTTGTACTTTTGCACCCGATTATGCAATCATCACTTCTTGTTAAATGGCTACCCGTTCTCAATAGATATATTTTTCTCAAAACTACAAACTGCTCAATGTGCAATTGGCATTACCCAAAAATCTTCATTTTTTTGTATAATGAAATATAAAATATTATAGAAACCAATCATTAAAACTTTAGGCGATTTGGCTCATTGGCCGTCTCAATGTCACTGAGAGTTGTCTGTCTGAGAGCGGTTCCGCTGATTGTTAAAAGTGAGAAGCTGACCTTGACTGCACCGGTTAAACTAGTTGCTTAAATTAGTTGTTAAAAACTCATGCACCGAAAAATGGGCAGTTATAATTTAGAAATGGAAAAAACCTATTGTTACTTAGGGAGCTGGTAAAAAAATTGGCTGCACCTACCCGGATTGAGTAGCAGAAGGAACTTGAGGCAAATGTAATCCGTAGGATCTACTTTAATTTCCGCCAGTCGAGCTGTCACTCGGTGCAGCTGTTCCACCACCTGAGGCACACCGAGCAGGGCCAACGACAGCAGATCAAACTTCTGTCCGTTGGGCAGTGTGGAGTCGTCGGGCAGGCCGACGTGCATTCGCTGGTGAATGTGGTCCAGGACGAGCATGTCCGACCAGGCGTGCTGCAGCAGCTTCATTTGGTCGTCGACCTGTTAAAAAGAGGTGAAGTGATATTTTGGTAAACATTGAAAAAAGCATTCAAAACAAGCTTACCTTGAGCTCCTTGAAGAAGATGGAATTTCTCGCCCAGTCGACCTGACTGAAGAGCGACTGGTCGATGACTTTGCACATCAACTCAAACAGATCCACCTCGCACTGATTGTACGTCTGGTTCTGCAGCAGGCCAAACAGCTGCGCCTGCCACTCCTTGTCGTCGATCATTGAGCTCTGGAACTCGCGCACCAGCGGCGGCAGGTACTTGCTGCCGGGGGCCATCGTTCCAGAACCGGGTCCGCCTGGTCCGCCGCCCTGAGCACTGCCCTCTCCGCCGTAGGGCGAAACGGACATTGAGGTCTTGGAGGTGCCCGCCACGGTGGTGCCGCCGCTGCCGTTCGCCCACGACTTGAGGAGGTGGTCGGCGGCGGCGGCCGCTGCAGCTGCCGCAGGGTTGATCAGTCCGCCGCCATTGGCAGAACTGTTACCATTGCCGCCGTTACTTTGCGCCATCGGGTGAGCGGATATCGACAGATTGGGCATAAAGGAGTGGTGGCCGCCGCCGTTGCCACCTGCTGAACCGGGGTGACCGACGCCGGCGTTGCCGTGACCGGCTGCCACCGCCGCCGCTGCCGCCGCCGCCGCCGCCACACTGAGCGGCCCTCCCTGAGCGCCGCCCTGCTGGACGGCAGTGCTGCCCGGCGAGGGACTCGAGTCGGGCGACGATGTGGAGCTGCTGAGCTGCGGTATCTGAATGAGCTCCTGTTTGATGCCGTCGAAGAGTGTCGTCGTGTGGTGACCACCACCACCTCCATGACCACCGCCGTGTGGTCCTCCTCCCTGGAGGAAGTTCAGCTCACCCCCGGGGAGCATGGTGGCGCCTGGCGGGTGGTGGTGGTGGTGACCACCGCCGCCGCCCATGTGATGACCGCCCCCGCCGCCCCCGTGCCCTCCTAGGTGGTGGTGAACCTTGGTGAGCTGCTTTTGTCGGAGAATCTGTAACCGCCTTGCGCGGTCTCGCTTGTACATTGGTCCGAATTTGTTTCGTCCGCCGCGCATTCGGTCGGCTCGGACGGCTGAGAATTAAACGTTTGGGAGAAAGTACCGTGGTTACTATTAACACCTCATCAACTTTAAACAACGCACTAAGAGAACTCACCTTCCAGCTTCATGCCCACCTCGAGGCACTTCTGAAAGCGACAGTAGGGACATCGCTTACGCTGACTCTTGTCAATGTGGCAGCTGCGCTCTGCGACGCACGTGTAGACCTTCTTATTCTGAACGGTTCGCTTGAAGAAGCCCTTGCAGGACTCGCAGGTGAGCAGGCCGTAGTGGTAGCCGGAGACGCGGTCGCCGCACACCGGACACTGCTCCTCGATGCACTCCTTCGGATCACTGGAGGGAGAACTGCTGGCCACCGTCACCACCGACACATTCGACAGCGGGTGATGCGGGTGACCGCCCAGTGAGGGGCTGCTCATCGAGAGCAGTGTCTGCGGAGTGTGGCCACCAGAGTGGTGACCACCGCCATTACCACCACCTCCAGTGGCCAGTCCGCCCAGATGAGGTCCGGGGGAGTGGTGGTGGTGGTGAGGCGTACTGTACGTGTCCATCATTGCAGGAGGTACGACTGACGCCGAGTGATTGCTGTTGCTGCTGCTGTGGTTGCTGCTGGTGCTCAGTGAGACGGAAAGTGGAGGAGGAATAAGAGGAGGAGGAGCAATTCGTATTGAATTCTCTTGTTGGCTGCTTCCGGGTAATGGTGTGGATGGTGCTGAAGGTGCTGTAGACAGCATACCGGGCATGCCTAGCCCACCATTTGTGGTGCCTGAGGCAGAAGAAGCAGAAGAGGAAGAAGTAGTAGTGGTGTTTCCGGTTGCAGGGGATTCAGAAGTGTGACTCTCGGATGATTCGGTTTGTGGTTGCAGACTGCGAATGACTGGCAGTGTTGGTCGCGCAGAGGTGTTGTGGCCGTGTTGTGAAGGCGATGGCTCTCCCTGGTTGATGTGCTCCAAACTGGTGGAGTTGGAGCGATGCAAAAGTGAAGATGGCGGCGCTGGTGGTGCGCCACCGCTCACCAGCGAAGAGCTCGATTCAGAGAGGGAGGAGCTGCGAGAAAGGGCCGTGGGAGGATGAAGAGGAGGTGGTGCTGGTGGTGGGGACTCAAAACGACCACTCAGGAACTGATGCTGTTCAGAGCTGGTGGTGTTGGAAGTTGTCGGGCTAGGGCTGATTGTTGAAGTGGTTGCTGAAGAGGAGGAAGTGACCAACAGTGAGGGGGAAGTTGGTGTCGCAGAAGAGGAAGAGGAAGAAGAAGAGGTGTTGATGCTGATGTTTGCTGCTGATAATAGATCAGCCGACGTTGACTCTAAAGAAAAGAAAAGAAGAGAAAGAAAAAAGGATGAAAAGTGATGCCGAAGAGAGGGCAATTCAGGGAGTGCAGAGATGTTAGTGTGTTTTGACTGTTAGAACAGTAGTGGGGAACTAATGAAAAAAGTAGGGGCAAAAAACTGGAACTGCCGCAACTCAAGGAAGCAGATCGATTGGCACGACGGGGGCGTTACGTTATTCCAAGCAAGGAGAGAGAGAGAGAGAGAGAGATCATCCAAAAGAGGGAAATGGAGAGAGTGGCCAACAAGAGGAATGTTCGACTACACCGGATGCAGGTGCTGATGTGGAGGATATTAGTGCTGGTGCTGATACTGGTGGTGAAAGAGAAGGAGGTGGCAGTGGTGACAAAAGTGATGCTGAAGAATGGTCACAGCACATGACACAGTCTCACTCTGTTCTCCGTAATAGTGGTCGGCGTGTCTGAGAACGTCAAAGAGAGAGAGAGAGAGAAAGAGGGAAAGTGTCCCTTGTGCAACACACAGGCACACAAGCACACTTTCCAGTGGCTCTCACGAAGTCAGTCAAGCAGACAGGCAGTCTCTCAGTCTCACTGTCGTTTTCACTGTCTCTCTTTCTCGCACCTTTTGATCTTGACCCCAATACTGCTTGTATTTTATTTAGCGTTGACCAAACACAGTTTGCACTCTCACTGCTTTCTGCTGGCTCTTTTCTTCTTCTTCTTCTCCTTTCCTTTCTGTGAGTGAGCTTTTTTCAATCACTTAAAATGGCGCGTGCGTCGGCGAGTGGTTGCGCGAGCAGCGGGCGCCAGTTGCCAGTTGCAGGCGCGCGATCTTGACCTCAATTACACCGACGACGGCGACAGCAACGACGACGGGCGCGCACAGGTAAAAGAGGCACAGTGAGAGATTGTGAAAAAAGAGGGAAAGTCAACACACAGACACACACAGACAGAAGTGAACACAAGGGGAACAACGGCGAAGGGCCACACGACAAGAGTACACAGACGCTGACTTTGACTATCAGATCTGACAAGACAAAAAGTGGGGGGAAAGGCACTCAGCCAGACAGACGTGGTGACACTGGGACTGAGCGAGAGTGAGAAAGAGTGGACAGTGGCGAACTCAACCACAAAAATCTAGTAGTAGTGTCAATTTTCGGGTGAGTTCAGGTGCAGCAGATAATCAGCTGGAGGATCAGCACTCGACGACACCACTACACAGCTGACCTACATTAGGTCAACAGATATACACACAGTCACAGAGTCACAGACACTGACACACGAGAACGGTTTCATGTGGAGGAAAGTGAAGTGAAGTGAGTGAAGTGATTGAAGCCGAAGAAGATCAAAGCGGGGGTTTACTTTCACTTGAAGATCATCAGCACTGGAGCATCAATATCAACAAGACAAAGCATCTACTGGGTAACAACACTTCTCAAGAGGAGAGAGAACACAGCACTGAGCAAGTGTAGTGTGTCAACAACAAGAGCACTGGTAGTGATCATTTGGAAAGGATTCTCCAGCTCTACTGCTGCTGTTGCTGATGCTGTTGTTGTTGCAAGTGCCGCCGAAAAGTAGGTTAACACCGGTTGGCCGTACAGTGCTGTACGGCACACAGCACACACAGCTGATAGAGAGACCGGCTGATAGAAAGGAAGAGAGAGAGTGGGAGAGTGGGGGGCCACTGTCGTACAAAAGTCGGCTGCTACTGGTGCTGTACAGCAGGAGAAGCAGAGAGAGAGGCTGCGCTGAGATATCGGTGTCTGGTGCGTGCGTGCGTCTGTGCGCCACCCGCAAGCAAAAAGTAGGTCAATGGCGCCGGAGCTGTGAGAGTTGGGTCCAAAGTGGGGCACTAAGTAGGTCAGAGATGCCGAGTGACGTACGAGTGCCGGTCTAGGGGGGATGGTCGTCGAGGGAACACCAGACCCGGTCGGCAGTGATAGCTGGAGTGAGGGCCCAAAGAGTTGGTCACAAGCACACAACCACTGTTTGACAGGTGGATTTACGAGGCACAAAAGGTAAATAGAAATAAATAGGCGACCGGCTTCTGCTGAATCAGCAGTGTCACTAAAGTCGGAAGTAGGGAAAATAAAATCGAACAGTAAAAAATAAAAGTAGAACCACAAAATTGATCAAGTAGAGCGAAATTGCCTCTGGGGTGATGGTGATGCTTTCTTCTTCTTTTAAAGATGAGGACTGCCGTTTAGAAAGGGGCCTAGTGACACGGCCAGACAGGAAGAGGATGTCAAAGAGGGATATAATCTGCTATGCTAGTTCAGTGGTCACTGTCACCCTTTGGACGGACATACACAAGCACACACACACACCTTTAGAAAGGAGGCAATAAATAGAATGGTGATAGTGGTGATGAGAAACGGCGAGCGAGCGAATGAGCGAGTGGTGGTGGTGATAGAACGGCACACTGCCTGCTGCAGCGCCTCGGAGTGCACGAGTGAAAGTGATCGTCAACTCGGTGAAACGGCGGCAGCGGCGGTGGCGGTGGCGGCAGTGTTCGGGCGGCGGAGCATGGTGCACGAAGCAAAACTGTGGGGAGCATGGCGCCCAGACACTCATGTGCTCCTAGTCACACTCATAGGCATAGTCATCGCTGCTAGTGCACACCACAGCAGTGGTAGTGCTGGTGGCAGAGGTGCCCAAGAGCCGAATGGAATGGCCACCACTAATGAACGCAGGAAAGAGAGGCAGCAAAGTGGTGGTGGTGGTGGTGGTGGTGGTGGCGGTGGTGGTGGCCGTCCGGGCGCCATCAGCAGCAACAGTGCCAGCAGTGAACAGTGCCACTACTGAACGTCGTAGTCAAAAGAGCTCTAGTACTCTGTAGTAGTCACTGCTCACTGGAAAGGCAGTTTGTGCCAGCACTACCAATGACCCACTAAGTTGAGCCAGCATCGATCCAGCGTCTTCAACGACACAGCCACTGCTCTCCATTGCTCAAGGGGGATCCAACTGATGAGGGGACGCAGTGTGGCCTGTGCTCCCCCAACAAGAGACACAGCCACTGTATGTCTCTCTCATGAAGAGCACCAAAACAGACGACTCCCACCAAGCGGCAAAGTGCAGTGTCAGAGGGGAGAAGCAGGCGGGCTTTGATCTTCACTCAGTACTGCTGCTGCTGCTGATCCTCAGACATTCTCTCACACTGTGACTCAGTGAGAGAAACAGAGACTCCAAGCGCCACGTGCAGTGCCATTGGTGCGCTCTGACCTTGGACTGCCTCAGTCAGTCTCTTCTGGTTCAGCAGTGTGACGCCAACAACAGCGGCGGTGGCAACGGCAGCAGGAGCACAGAGTATGCACTCTCACTACACTTTCACTGCAACGCAAGCCCACACCGAAACAGCAGCAGCAGCAGCAACATCAGCGACCTCGACTCAGTGACCCCATTTGCTGGCGTAGTGCTTTGCCAATCAGCAGGCAGCAGTGCATTACATTAGACTGACTGACTGCTTGCAAGACAAAGCCTTCTTCTTCTTCTGTCTGTAGGGAGCCGGTGGAGAATATGCCGGTGGTGGTGGTGGATCTCAGTCAGTGATGCACATCACCGAATCTGCAGATCACTATCACCCATGGCTGCTCCAGAATTTGCGTTTATGCTGGCGGTGGTGATGGTGCCTCACTGCAAAGATAGGCAGTGCTGAGCAATCAGCAACGGCAGGAGCGGGAGCAGGAGCAGGAGCTCTGCATCGTCATTTGCCGCCTGTGTTCACCACGAGCGCACCTGTTCGACCTTGGAAACGCTGGAGTGCTTGGCTCGCCGGCTTCAGTCAACGTAGTTTCAGTCACCGTTTCTCTATCTGTCTCTTACTGAAACTCTCTCTCTCACTCATTCACTCTTTTCTCAGTCTCTCTCTCTCTCTTTCCCTTTGACGGCGGACAGGCTTTGCGCAAGGGCGCAACGTGTTTGAGTCACTGANTCTCTCTCTCTCTCTCTCTCTCTCTCTCTCTCTCTCTCTCTTTCCCTTTGACGGCGGACAGGCTTTGCGCAAGGACGCAACGTGTTTGAGTCACTGAGGGAAAGAGAGAAAGTGAAAATCAGTCTCTTAGGGAACTCGGTTGTGCAGTGGCTGTAGCGCAAGCTGCTGCCGCTGCTGGAAGCACTTGTTCCCTGCCACAG